TATAACTGATTTTGTACAAGAAAGTGTTTTTGTGCCCTGCTTGGGAGAAGGTGTCTAGCTTAATAATGGCTGGAAACGGGTAATGAAGAAAAACTTTAATATAAGTTTAACATAACAGCAAATGTACAACGTGTCCAGTTTAAGCCCTGTGACGAAGAACTATTGGGCACAATGAGACCAGTTGAAGCTTGAAGATGGTATTCTTCTGGAGATGGAAAAGTGACGACCTGGCAAACTGTTATACCGAGAAAGTTATGGGAAGTTGTGCTGCATCAATCCCATGATAGTTTAACAGGAGGCTGTATGTATGTATGTAAAAATCAGCACGATTGAAGAGATATAGATAGCTTGAAGAGATAGATAATTGAGTCATGCGAACAGTAGGCACCATAAGTAAAGTGTGTGAATCACTGTGATTTATAGTTTGTGTTATAAGGTTGTTAAGTTTAAAGTGACTTTGAAAATTTTGTGTACTAAAAAGTTGTATCAAGAAAGAATAAACTAGTTTTAATTAAGAAAGGACTTGTATCGCTGAAGTTCCTCGGAAATAATTTATATCGGAAATTAACAAATGAGCAGATACTTAACAATATAAATACTTTTATAAATCTCTAACAAATGTTTTTAATGGGTTGGGAAAAACTAGTTTTCACATAGACTATAGCCAACTGTGATCTGAGCAACAACAAACACAACTGATTGGCCAAAATATAATTTTTCAAATATATTTTTGAGCAATTCTAATTATTAAAAATGCATATCAGACAAACGTTTTTAAGCAGTGGAGACACAAATTAAGAAATCAACAAATATTTTTCCAATTTGATGTTTAGACATTTCATTGTACATTTCTAGTACATAGCCTAACAACAAGATCAGGTTATACATTTGTTGCTAAGTGATAACATAAAAGCCATTTTTGAAAATGCATATCAGACAGAGTGATTTTATAAAAGTAATAGATATTATATAAGAAAAAAAAAGTTATTTCATTTGCGAAAACAAAAACCTATAAAAATCATAGTTAGCAAAGTTATGTCACATATAAATTATGTTCAGGATTTATGTGTGTACATGGTCAAATAACTATACTCAACAAAATTTGACCATTAATTTCTGCAATTCTGGACATTTGAACTTCACCTGAAAGTTATTGCTGCTATAATTGAAACATTTTAATGACTAATATCATTGGTCAAGCCACAGATGAAGTCTTTTTGCTTATCAAAGAAATTTTGCAAAGTAAACACGCATACGAAGGTTAAATCTAAGTCAGTCTTTATTAGAATTATTACTGTACATACCCTTTAATTTTTTTCATCCCAATTATAACTTCATTCCAAATCCTCATTAGTTTTCACATATGTCTACACTGTTTGGTACATGTAGCTACACCTACAATAAAAAGTACACCACCCTTTTTCAATTGATCCTTTAGGCCCAACTTTATGTGTATTTGTGTAGCAGTAATATTTTTACAATTATCATTTCAACTTCTGATATAGTACAAAAATAACATAATGTCATATTTTATTTTATCATTTTCTTGATGATCGAATGATGCCTATTGAGTTTTAGATAGTACAGAATATTTTTTTTCTTTAGGATGTGGTGGACTATAACGGGGAACTTTGGGAACATCCTACCTATTGACTGGTCCAAATCATATGCTAGAAAGCTGCAGCTGCCAGCTCTGAACTTGAATGAACAGAAAGTGAGTAGAACTCTATTGCTAAAGAGATAATTTGTGTTATAATGCTTATCTTGTGATATTGGACATGTTATGAAAATAAATACTCAGCTGATGCAGAGCTTATTATAGTTTAAAAATAAAACGACTGAACATTAAAATTAAAGATACTGAACTAGACAAGTAGAGCCTAGGTTACTTCCAAAATAAAACAACTGAATGTTAACAATTACAGGTACTTAGCTGACATTATGAGCTTAAGTTATATCTAAAATGAAATGACTGAACATTAACATTATGGATACTTAAATAGACATGCAGATCTTAATATAGTTTCAAAATGAAACAAATAAACAGTGGAGCTAAGCAAATTAGTCAGTTAATTGGTATAATCAGTTACTTATGAGCAGCAATTACATCAACTAATATCTTGTGAACTAACTGATTAATGTCATGAAAATAATGAACGATTTGAAATTAGAGTTTCTAAATATATAATTTTTATTATTACAACTATCATCTCTCTGGTTGCTTAAGTGTAATAAACTTAGAGAAGTGGACTTTTCAATGTGGAATCAGCTTAGAAGTTGTACAGTTTTTAATATTTTTATCAGAAGTTTGTTTCAATTATGGGCCTTTTTTTACACATCCTTTTTTGGCAAAAAATGATTATTGGTGCTTATATTTTGTATCATTGGTGTTAATGCTTTTCATTTTCAATTGCATGCTGATCCATGTCAGCCTCATCTTTCTTGCCTTTGTGAGTTTTATATGGCCTATGTCATAATACTTTTGTTTATCTTGAACCTCAATCCCTAAAATCTTTCCTTTCTGCCCCATTTCTTCTACATTGTCTCATACTTATTATCTTGCAGCTTCTTTGCTATTTGTCTAAAATTGGCCTTCTCTCAGAGGCTTTCTATTGTGAACCCAGTAGGTTTGATAGAGACTCATTTCTACTTGTTTGCTACCTTGGCTTCTCAGTTTCTTTTACTGCCAGATCTTCCTGATCTGATTTCTTTGTTTTGGAGGTTTGCTTGGTTTCAGTATTTCTCCCTCCCTCTTATCTCAGAGACCTTTTTCTTACTCCTTTCCTTCATGATGAAGTCTTTGGAGGTGTTCCTGATACTTTGAAATCTTGAGCTAAAGGTGCTTGCCAGCAATCTTCCCTGGTTTTGTCTTGCCTTATAAGGTTGCAAGTACCTCAACATGTTCCCTGTCTTTTAGAAGTCGTGGGGTTTCCCCCTTTCCTGTTCTTCATCTTATTGTCCGTGCTTGCTGTTCCCCTCCTGCAGGACTGGCCATTGCTGTTCGTGGAAATATTCCATGTACCACCTCTTGGCTCAGGCTCCAAGGGAGCTCAGCTCTCACTATTTGCATATCTGTGGACTCCCTTTGTCAATAATCTTTGAGTCCTGCAGGTGCTTTCTTGTGGTCTGTCTCTGTGTTTTTAAAAAACCCCTCCCCTTTCTCCTTGTGTAGTCATATTTCAATGCCATACGTCTTCAGCATATCAGAGGGTATATCCTCTACTGGTTATGGAAGATGTAGAGAATGCTCTCCACCTAATTCAGGTCTTTTATTCCCATCTTTTCTAGGGATTGGCACCCCGTCATCGATATATCATCCTTGAATTTCTTTCTTGACCTTCCTCATTTAAAGGTGGATGATTTTCTTAGTCTGAGATTGGCATTCTCTCTCAGGTTGTGGATGGCCAAAATCATGTTTCAGATGCATTTCCTTACATCCTGATTTGTCTATCATCCTATTGTTTTCACTAATTTGTCCACAACAATCAGTTTTTTTCAATTCCAGATCCTTCCCTTCCAGTTAGTCATGGCCCCTTACATATTCAATGCATCTCAATGTAATTCTGTATAGGCAACTTCCTTTCTCCCTTGAAAGACATCTCATCTTGGTTGGCTGATCTAGTGCTCCGAGTCTGTCTTGACCCCCATTTAGTATATGATCCACTTGATTATCTTTCTCCATTCACATGCAGGGTGAGCTTAGCTGTTGCCTTTGTATCTTTATGCCATGCTTATTTTGGTTTCCATGACTCTTCAATTTCTTACTCTAGCTACATGAGAGGTTCTTACTTTTGGGGACTCTAGCTTTCCCTCCAGCCCCTTATCCATTTTGGATGCACCCATGTGTCTCCTTTAGAGGACTGTACATTATTAGTTGAACCTGTCCTGGGATTCCTTGTGACTCCCTTTGTCAATAATCTTTGAGTCCTGCTGGTGCTTTCTTGTGGTCTGTCTCTGTGTTTTCAAAAATCCCCTCCCTTTTCTCCTTGTCTAGTCATATTCTCTTCCAATATAACTATAGGTATTTATATTCCCCTTTGATGTGATTTGTATCTTTATACAGATGCCTCTTTTTCCAGATGGGAAGTTCTAGGAACCTCCATCATTTTGAGGTTTTGGTCTCCAGAGGAGATGTCCTTTCATATTAGTGTCTTAGAAATGTTGGTTGCTTATCAGGCTTGCCATTGTCTTTATTCTCAGTTCACAGGTAATCTGGTGATGAACCATTTTCAAATCTTGCATCAAATGTCAGTGTGGCACTTGTTCTTGGGGTCTGTGCCTTCTTACTCTGGAATTTCTCTCTTAGACCCACAGTAATCATGTTCAGTTGTTTGCTTATGTCCTAAGGGCTTTGAACCTGATGGCATATTGCTTGACCCCTCTCCCTTAGACAAGATATTTCCCACAGAGCGGTATCTTCATTCTTTGGTGTTTCAGTAGATTTGATCCCACTTTGGGAGTACTCTAAATTATGCCTCTAAGACTCCTCTAAATACAAAACTTCCTATTGGTCTCCATTTCCAAACTCTGCAGTTCTAACTTTTGATGCTCTGAACCAGTATTGGTCCAATCTCTTTCTTTATGCTTATCCTTCTCTTTGCCTTCTTCCATGTGTTCTGTCCCATTTACAACACACATTGTCAGGGCATTCTGATTTTCTTGTTGTCATTGTTTTCCTTCTTATACTGTTTGTCATCCAGGGATCCCTTTAGTGGTTCCTACTCCCAGCCACAGGCATCCATCTTATGTGCATGTTATTTGTCCAATTTCTTCCATGAAGGTTGGGGTTTTCATGCAGAGTTAGTGCATTTTCTGTGTTGTTTTTGCTATCCTTACATATTGGCTATCTGTCAGTGCAAATGGATTGTTTACCTCTGCTGGTCCCTTCATCACTTCAGGTCATCCTAATCACTTTTTTTATCTGGCTTTTTAACAGGGGTTTATCTGTGTCAACAATTGCCAGTTATAGAGTTGATCAGTCCACAACTTTTTGTCTCTTACCTGGTCCTTCTCTAATTCTGACAGACTTCTTCAGAGCTTATACCATCAGTTATCCTCTTCACTCAGTCCATCTTCTGGACTGGAACATCTATGTTGTTTTGCAGGCTCTCTAGTTTCCCCTTTGAACCTTTTGCCTCCTGTTCCAGGTATTACCTGTTCTCGAAGACGTATTTCCTCTTAGGCACTGGATGCCTTCCGCACTCTTTCACCACAGAAATCAGTTGATTTTATTACTGGACTGCTCCTTTTTATCAATAATTTGGGCTGCCTGGTGGGGTGGGGTTAGTTAGAAGTTTTCTCCTATCACTCTCCATTTGTTCTTCATACAATCATTCCAACCATGATTACTTTTATGTCAGATTTGGGCTGGTCACTGTTATCTTGATCAAGTTGCCCCTTTTCATGAAAACCACCATTGCTTCTTTTTGCCATAGGATGCCTCATCCTTTAATGACTTGTTATTTTCAACTTTGACTGGGTGGATTCATCAGCACATTCGGTTGGTGTATTCATTTTTGGTGAAAAATCTGTAAACTTTATAACATCACCTTCTATCAGGTTCATCATCTCATGGCTTCTTTTGCCTGTCATCAGTGTCTTACCTTGGATGAAACAGGCCAAAATGTGGATGATGCCTAACATATTTGTATCGCTTTCGTCCTCACCACATGGCAGTTTTTTGTGCCTCTGGCTTTCATCTCCCTCTAGTTGCCATTTTACAGTTTACATGGAAGCTCTTGTGAGGTAAGTATTGTTTTTCTCCTTATCACCTGCTCACTCCTTGCCATTCTTACCTCACCTCAAAATAACTCCACAGACTTTTCTGTAACATGTTCTTTTTTTAAATATTTTACTCTATGACGTAGTTATTTCAAGGCTTCATGCAGTGAGTACTACTTTGGCTTTTTTACAAGTAGTCATTATAGGTCAATTTCAAGTTGAAAGGAAACAAGATACATTGAAATAGGGCATTTCTTTGGTGGCTTTATCTTCATTATAACAGTGTGGTTGGAAAATAAAGTTTTTGTAAAGTCCAGCTTAAATACTAGTGATTTTTTTTTTTGCACAAGTTGTTCAGTTACTTTAAATTTGTCAGAACTACTAAAGATTATTTTTAACTTTGTTATGAAAACAAATATTAGTTTTTTCCCTCCAAAAGCATGCAGTTCATACAAATTATAGAACTTTTTTATCTGTCAACAAATTTATCAGAACCCATACTACTTGAGTCATATTAAGACATACACTATTGGAAACAGCACTGAAAAAAGGGTACAAAAGGTAAAAACTATGGGAATACCACTTGACAAAAAAAACATACCAGATTGTCTGACCTCACACCTGGCTTGTGCCTGCTGTCTTTAGTCATGGTAACCCATTCCACTATCTCTCAATGTGGGATAGAATATCAGATGACAATGGTCCATGTGTCTGTCTGGTGTTCTCCTCCATGTAAATTCATTCTAGTAGCTGAATACTTTCCACTAGATCACAGTTATTATTTAATGTTATTCTTTGGTGCATGGAATCAGTTCAAGCTTATTATTAATGTTGTATACTTTTTAAAATACATTAACTATTGATTTCTTTGTTGCAAAAATGTAACAACTCTTATTAATGTCTGACCCAAGTAATAGTTGTTTATCAGAAGAAACATTTTTTGAAGGCCCTGTGTCAATGTGAGATCAGTTATTTAACCAAGTCTTGTTGTTCAACAGAACTACCTGGATGAGATAGATTTGGACCTGTCAGATGATGAAGAGTTGGCTAGAGATCTGGATATGCATTCCTTGATACTCTCCAGTCTTCAGCAAGAACCTCTCTTCACAGCAGAAGAAGTTCTGGAGGAAATAGATGAGATTATGAAGGTATCTTAATGTGAATTAAATAAATAATGCAGAATATACTAACAGACTGAATTGAACAATACGTTTTCATGTTGTTGAAGATATTTTCTTATTATATAATAAAGAATATGCTAATTGACTAGTGGGAAGAGTATTCTCAATTTATTTATATTACGGATTATGAATGTAGGTTATATAATACAGAATACTGTAGAAGATTGCATTGAACTGTATAGCCATTTGGCTCTTGTTGAGGATCATGTAGAATAAATAATATAGAATATGGGGCAGGTATATTCAACAATACAAATTTGATTATTGTTGACAACTGTGACAATATGATGATGTAGACTACACTTGAAAATGGAGTAAATGATATATATATATATTTTAGAATTGTAAAATCATGACTGCTATTTATTTTGTGCCTATCAAATAATTTTGTGAACAAATTCTTTCAGTTAATTTTTATCTGCTTTAAGATACTTTGTAGTAGTGTGGGCTGTATTGTATATTTTACTTCTATGACTGGCACTAAAAACTCCTTAAAAAATAATTAAACACCACTAAGAAATGTATTAAATTTCAGTGACATGGTTGGATCATTTGTTTTGTCCTCAAAAAAACTTGGCCCAGTTTTCATGGTTTCTTGAAGACTGTGACTTTACAAAATACATTGTGATTTAATAACAGTTAATAATTTTATTGAACTATATTAAAATGTGATTAATTAAATAAAATATAAAAAAAATGAAAAGGCATGAGGATGGAGTAGATATGAGGGGTGATTCCAGTTATAAATTGTCATGAAAAGTGGCTGAAATATCTTTGAAAATTCTTTTTTTTAAGTAAGAGGGGGAACCCTGACCTTTGTATGACATCATACTGATGTTTCACTTCAGATAGGTGGCTGCACGAATCAGTTGCTAAGAGTTTTTATATGTGTTCACATACACATAATTGTCATCTTAAAAAGCAACAGCTCATGTATTTTGTGTCTCTATAGCAAGAAGAACCTCTTTCTTCCGAGGATGTTAGTCCTGATCCGAGTCCAGATAACATCCCAAGAGCTGTGGACAAGACCAAAGCTATCTTGTCTTCTCTAGTGTATGGAGAGAGTATGTAGTGATTATTTTATCATTGTATCAAAAGGGGGCTAGTAATGGTGCTAACCTATGAATTTGCATTATTCATAACCTAAAAAGTTTAACCTCAGCATTTATTAATCTATACAATAGCACATTGAGATTTTATTATCAATAATAATTTGTTTTTATGTATTACAAAAACATAGTAGTAAACTGCTTATAACATTAATGTTGTGGAGCTTGAAATAACTCCACAGACTTTTCTTTAACATGTTCTTTTTTTAAATATTTCAAGTGAGTACTAGTTTGGCTTTCTTACAAGTAGTCATTATAGGTCAATTTCAAGTTGAAAGGAAACAAGATACATTGAAATAGGGGCAATTCTTTGGTGGCTTTATCTTCAGTATAACAGTGTGGTTGGAAAATAAAGTTTTTGTGAAGTCCAGCTTAAATACTAGTGATTTTTTTTTGCACAAGTTGTTCAGTTACTTTAAATTTGTCAGAACTACAAAAGATTATTTTTAACTTTGTTATGAACACAAATATTAGTTTTTTCCCTCCAAAAGCAAGCAGTTCATACAAATTATGGAACTTTTTTTATCTGTCAACAAATTTATCAGAACCCATACTACTTGAGTCATACACTGTTGGAAACAGTGCTGAAAAAAGGGTACAAAAGGCAAAAACTATGGGAATACCACCCATTTATCTTATGACATTTAACTGCACAAGAGTATAGTTACATGTTGATTGGTTGTCATCCAACTAATTAAAATGGCACACCAGTATAAAGCCTTTAAAAGAACATGCAGTCATACTATGCTCAGTAGTATTAGTGTGTTTCATTTGATTCTTAGGACTGAAATACCATTTGCACAAATAAATATTTTAGTTGATCAACAATGCTGCATGCAGAAAATTGTGGCAAGACTACATTTTTCAGTTGGTACTATAAACAAGACTTAAAAGAGGGTACATTAAACTTGTTAGTGATAGAAGTGGTCAAGTTATTAAACCAGATCTCTTTAATGATGTTAGGTTTTTCAAGGTACATAAATTATGAGGTAGACAATGGTTATATACAGCTCTTGTGAATGATACTATGAAAGCAGTAAGATGCACATTACCACTGAATGGTTTCACTGGACATATAGGTGCTCCAAAACCACTGTAGAGAAGAGCTGGAAACAAAGGCTCTTTATGGCAAATTGAAGTTCAAAGTATTTGGCAATAGTCAAAGATAGTTTATTCAATGGTATCATAATCAATGTGCAACTTCTACAGCGAAGCAGAGTGGGAGATCTCAGCCAGTGATCTACACAATAGTGATAGTACAGGCAGATTTTAATCCATTGTACCATTTCTTAAGGATCATGGGGATACATTTTGTAGCAAAGCAGTGATTTCAAGCATACATCAAAAGTGGTGAAATGATATCTTCATTAAAAGAGATTAATGAAACAGTCACATCCTATACAGAGTCTTAATATGAACATTCTTGTGGCTGCATGGGCTTAAGTAAAACCTGGGAAGGTCAAAAGGCAGCAAAAAAACTTGGCTGAATTGTGATAATCAGGACATTTAAATTATGTCAAGTTATAATAGATTAATAACTGCACAAAAGTAAGATGTAACATGTAACGGTATGTATAAAGCAGAAGTATCACATACAGTATAATAGTGCATTGTACAACTTATTTGATCTTGTGTGTCTAACCACCTCGTTGCTATTATGGTTGTTTGTGACTCATATATGTTTACATAATTGTTTCTAGCAATAAAGTTTTGTTTGAATGAAAAACATGAATAACTTGTATGGCTGTTACAAAATACCATCCAATAATGTTTCAGAGTTGAAAACACTGAGCACGTCAGAATTAAATGAGTTGCTGGTCGAGTTAGAAGCTGTGGTTAAGGAGCATTCAGAAACACTTATTCAAGAATTAGCCCTCAGGGATGAGTTGGAGTTTGAGAAGGAGCTGAAAAATAACTTCATATCACTGCTCTTAAGTATTCAGAACAAGCGACGGCAGTATAATATTGACAAGAAGAAAGGCCGTGCTGGAATCAGTAGTGGGGCAGAGCCAAAAGTAAAAAAAAAAAAAAGTTCTTTATTCTTGGAATAGATTGCTATTTACTTGAATTTGCATAATAGTTCTTGGCTACTCTGAAGTGTCTAAGCAATATTATTTCAAATAGTTTTAGAATATATTAATTAAATATTAGTACAAAAACATGAACACTTAAAAACGATTAATCTGTTACATGTAATTGACTTTTCTAACTCTCAGACAAAAGTTTTTTGTTTTTTTTGCCACAATTGTTATCAAAATTGTTGTCTTTTGGTAAAAGGTACATAGTGTTTTCATAGAGATTAATAATTTACAAATGAACTTCAGACATGGAACTACAAAATTTTGAGCCGAAAAGTAAGAAATATAAAATCTGTACCACTTAATTTTTAATATCTTACTTTAAATTTGTGTCCAAACTGAAAATAAATAACTATTATGTAATTTTTGAGAAATGCCTACCCATTAAAATTTAGTTTAAGGTAATTGTGAAGGTTATATTAATTTTTTTTTTTTTAAGTATTTGACAACAGTCATTCCATATAATGCAGAACAAGGTCCACCAAACAACAACACCCTTCAAGTCTTAATTAAAAGTAAGTATTTTACACTTGAAACGTACTGTTTAGTCTATATTAATTGACAAATGAAGTTTTGGTTGTGTGATAAAAAAACTAACAATAATACTCTCTTAATTTTAGTCCTTCAAGCTATTAATGAAGACAGTCCCACAGTCCCAACCTTATTGACTGACTATATTCTTAAAGGTAAGTCATTTATAGTTATCACTGTTTTTAAAAATACTAAGTTTCTTTAAAAGACATATCTACGTTTTTGATGCATGCAAGTAATACATTTTAATTTATATCTAATTTGCAGTTTTGTGTCCCACATGAAGCAGCTTATGTCGGCCTTGGTAACAAACACTACAACCTTCCATTGTTGATCCTGCTTAGACTTACTGGCCTATTCTCTAGGAAAAATGGACATTTTTAAATGAAAATTCTGTTTAGCTTATCAGTACTGAAAATACTCATGTAGTGATTGATATTTTTGGTTAACCATGTGTTTTTAATAGTTGGGTGATCTGATATAGATAAATTATTTGAAGCCACTGAACAAAATTGTGTTGATTCCTTTTCTACTAAATCAGGACCCTGTAAATACCCATAAAGAAAGTTGGTGTTAACAGTTATTCCTGGAAAAGTATTCTACTAGTTTTTTTAGGTCACAATTTGATTCATATCACTTTTAATGCTTTGTAAACAATTGCACTTCAAAATTTATGATAAAGCTTTTGTATGATTTATGAATGGAAAATTAACTGTGGCTGTGGACTTTATTAATGTGCAATGTGCTTTAAAGCTTTGAACATTGTTGCAATGATCTCAATTACTTTTTAATTTATAGATATTTATATATATATATATTTACTTCTGTGCTCCAGATAAACTTCTTTTGACTTTTTATACCTACTTAAATAGCATTTTTGGAACCATGTGATTTCATTGTATTCTTATTGAAAACTGAGTCAATAAAAATAATTGTGAATGTCTTCACTTGCAGAAATAATACTTTTTCAACAGCATTTAATGTCAATACATGATACAAAACAGACACAGTTGTACATTCAAAGTACTGTTTAACTAGCTGTCAAAAAAATTACAACTTCACAGACACCAATTATACTACCTGAAACATGGGTGAAACTTTTAAATACTTACCTTCATTTTTTAAAACTAAAATCGATAAAAAAAGCACTGAACTGTGTTCTTAAATCTCTCATTGTAATGAACTTAGTTTATGATTTACATGATACAGTGAAACAATTACCACTCAGAATCTACTTAATAAAAAATAGTATGGACATCAAAATGTACATAAACTGTATTTCTTCATGTGAACTGGTTATTCTTTATCACTGTCTTCCTGTTTTGAGGAACTGTTTTTATATTCAGGGGATTCAGATGGGGATCTAGACTTAGATTTCTGTTTACTTTCCTCCCCATTCTGTTCAGGTTCCTCATTCCTTTTTGGACTTCGAGATTTAGATCTTGAACATGATTTATCTGAAGCAGGAGATTTGGACCGAGTTTTACTTCGACTCTGAGACCTTGATCGACTGCTACGAGATCTTGACCGAGACCTTGAATGAGATCTAGCAAAATAAACAGAGGAGCAATTTTTTTATAATTGAAATCCTCAACCCATTACACAATTTTTTGCCAGCCTCACTGCTACATAGATATTTTGTATAAACACAAATTACAAATACCAAAGCTGTAATTTTTAAGATGATGACATTAATGACCTAGCAGTTGATGAAAAGGTTTATACCTTTAGTGCTTCACATTGGTCTTCGGTTTTCAAGAAATAAAGACCATTATCTGACATGGCTATATGTCATTAAGCAATAAACCTGTAACACTAGTCACTTATCAGTATTTGTATTATATATATATTTTTTTACTTTTACTAGAGTAACCCCCCCCCCCCGCCTATTCAACATTTATGCCAATTTTTGTATTCCAACAAATACAATCAGATAGATTAACCCAATTTGTTGAAATATAAGAACAGAGCTTTTGTATTGCCTGTAATCCTGAAGCAAAGAGGATTGTTTTATTTACAAAAAAAAATATTAGGTCCAACTATGCTGATTTATTAATATTAATGATCTTTCATTTATATCTTTACATTAGGCAAAAGTAGAATTCTGTCACCCAACTGAGCTAATCACAATAGGTGTTTCAAGTGCCTGGGTACATTTTCATTATCACAGAAATGGATTTTCCTAAAACAACATCACTGTACTGTAGGAAAGTTTAACCACTTGAGTGCTTAATCTAGATGGCTGTGTAAACATAATTATGAAGATGATCTATGTTCCAGATAATAGAGAGGAAAGGTTCTAATACAGTGTAATGAAAATGGAACTGAGAACTTTCAGCATTAAGCCAAATGTAGTGGTAGTTAAGAAAATCAATGCCACAACTCCTTCATGGGTAATGATTTTTAAGCACATTTTTGTCGACTGAAAATATAAATGTATACATGAAAAGCTCATTCCTTGGATATGGAATACTGTGAAATTTGATATATTTCACATGGTTAAAGCCAGTATTCAATATATACACACACACCAAATGTGAGGAGAGACTCTAGCTTACAAGATTATTGTTGCAACATCCTTTTGTAAAAGTACTATATATCAAAGGATGGATTGTTATTGTTTGATACCTAGAACTTCCATCACTAAAATGTAACATTAACTCTTTCAATATGGGCTCAGTCAATTTTACTGACCATATGACCTTTTTGTACTTGTTTAATACTTATAACTCTCAATATAGTGTGTATATCTTCATAAAATTTGGCAGTCTTTCAGTTAATATTATAAGTCTTTCACATACAAAAAAATCAGATTTTCTAGTGAGGTATTTCAAATAAAATAAAGATTTGTCCATGAATATATTGAGTATTTGTTTTGAATAGTCAGTGT